AAAGTTTAATTAATATAGAAAAATTATCAATGAATGCAATTATTTTAGGCAGCACTTATGGGTTTTGTTTAAACAAAACAAAACAAATATTCGAATGCTTCAAAGAGAAGATTAGCTTAATTAATTAATATTAGCAAAGCAACATAGACGAAAAGTCAAAGAAGGTGGGGGATGTAATCACCTTCAAGGAAAGAGCTGAGCTGCAATGGATAACTAAAACCACCACCCAATATTAATAGTTCATTGGATTCTTTGTATTTTTCTAAAAAGTAAAGTTCTTATTTGGGAGCTTGTTTTCAAACCATATTTTCATTACCAATCCTAAATTTAGGGCACGTTTGGTAGATAATTTGTATTTTGTGTGTTATTTTCACATTTACTAAATCAAATGAATTCAATCAATATCTCTCTGGAAATTTTGAAAATAATTTTTTAACTAAAAATATTTTATATTAAACAATTATATTTTCATTTAATCCCTCAATTTTTATATTTCTGTTTTCATACTCTTGGTCTCCAAACTTTGATATATAATTATTGAAAAATTATGTAATTTTTACCTATTAATGAATCAATGACATGACATGTCCAGTGAGAGTAAATTTTAAAAGGAGAGGATGTGGAACAAATTTAAAAGTGAACTCTTTTCGGGGAAATATTTAAGGGGGTGTCGGTGGGAAGTCCCATCTAGTACAGTCTATAGAACAAATGTTAAATTATTAATAAAAAGAATATAGAAAATTAAGGATTGAGCAATGAAGTGAAGGGTGGGTTTAATTAATTTGGTTAATTACATATTGGTTTGTGATTATCGTCCAGCCAGGCGAAGCACAATTAAAATAAAATTAAAAAATAAATAAATAAAACAAAGATTTTGATGAATGTTGACCAAAATGACAAAGGGAAAAAAGTTAATTAGAGAGGTAGTTGGCAAAGCCCAAACAAATTAAAGGAATATTAAGAAGTGGAGAATGATGTAAGCATATATACTTGTGACAAGAAAAAAAAAATAATAATAATAAAGTCTAAGATGAGATCTGGGCATATCTTCTTAGAGCAGGCAAAGCCCTCAATTTTAATTTAATTTAATTTTTATCATCACCTCCAAAAGCATATGTTTTTTTTTTTTTTCTTTTTTGGTCTATCTTCAGTTAATATTATCCTATGAATGAGGCACACATAAATAATAAATTATAATTAATTAAGCTATAACAATTGTGGTTGGACACGTGTTGTTTCTGGGGCCCAGTTTGTAGGGCTTGTTGGAAACTGTTGGATTTTCCAAGTATTCCATTGTCTAAAAATTCCTACTTTTGGAGAAAAATGTTTCCAAGTAGGCATGCTGTCATGAAGCAATATTTCACTATCACAACATGTGGAATATATTAAAATTGAGGAAAGGAAAAAGATAGATATAAATGGATCACCAATAATTCAATATCAATATATATGGTAGTGGGTGGGGTTGGTTTGATTGATTGAATATAATTCATTTCATTTTACCTCAATTTTCATTTCATTTCTAATATGGGTTTTGATTGAAATATCAGATAATATGACCCGACCCATGTTCTACCATTCCTACATCTTTAATGATAAGCATTCATGCAGGTTGAAAAGAAGAATACTTGATTCTCTGTTGGCATCTTGACTTTCCGAAACGAAATACAGTATTTTTCAATTTGAAATTTGTGAAGACAAAGGAAGATTAGGGTTTAGTTTTTCAAAATTGATGATCTTTCAAGTGATCGGAGTCAGGTGAGAGACAAAGACAAGGGAAGTTGATTAGAAGCCTCTATATGGTTTCGTCTCTCCATATCCATTACTTCTTTTCTTTAAACTAATATTTAATTTCACATAAAACTTTTTCTTTTCTTCTTATTTTGGACGATTGAACAGAATCCCACTAATTAATCATTCCTCTTTCCATGCAATTTCTTGTCTCAGATATTCCATTTCCCAAAACCCAATGTTTAAGACTACTTGAATTGAGAGCTTGAAAAATCAAAGCTCTCGGTGGGGAGTTGGAAAACAAAAACGTTTATCCCAATTTAAACATTATTTTATTTTGAGTTAATTTCTATTTATTTATTTGAATTGGGTTTTGATAGAGTGGAATGCGGTTGATCTTATTTTACAAAAGAAAACAAAATTATCTCTCTTTAATAAGATGCCTTTGATTGAAGCATAAGATGAAAGATCTCTCTCTTTTTTATCTCTCCCTTGTTCTATCTTTTCGTGGATGGAGTTATCTTGAATATCGAATGGGGAAACTTACAACGAATATGGGTGCTTTTTTGGGTATACTAATAGAAAATTGATTCTCTCTTCTTTTTTTTTAATTTAAATATTGCTTCAAATATATATATATATATATATATATATATATATATATAATTTTTTTTCTTTCTAAAATTGCTTCTAGAACGTTCATCCACTCAAAAATCAAAGGCGTGGGCAGAACCATGAAGGACTGGTTGCGGGAATCGGTTTTCACTTAAAAAGGGTAAATATTTAAGGGGCAACTAGAGCAATGGCTATATTAAATAGTTCCACTTGAAAAAGGGTCAAAAGTATCCAATATCACAAAAATGGCTATCAGTTATACTTCAATGCTAAAATTTAATATAGACAAATATATCGTCCCAGTTAAATTATCCTACCATTACCCCTTAAATTTTGTGGCAAAAATAAGCTTGGAACAACTTTTTGCTATAGCTTAATTTTAGGAAATAAAATAGTGAATTAAAGTTCAAAATTTTCAAAAATAAAATCTAGATTTAGAAATTTCAAAATTTCAAAAATAAAATCGGTTAAATGAATGATTTGAAAAAATATATATAAAAGGTAGAAAAATATGAAAAATATATGACCTAATAAAACGTAAATAAAAGTGGAAAATGAGTAGAAAAAATAAGATTGAATACTGTTTTTAAAACTATGGAGGGGGTAGCTAGATTGGGAGACACGAAAATTAATACCAAACTCGCGAACCGTCTCATTCTTGCCAAAAAAACGTAATCGATCAAAAAAGAACATACAAAAAAGGTTACAAATAAAGGTAATGACAAAATAGAAACGTGGTGAAGCACCTGGAAGAGGATGAAGCTAAGGTATTTTCTTATTCATACGTCGTATATAATAATACTTACGTAGTACTGAAAATAGTTTACTTACATTGTAATGAGTGACTTGCTTGCACCATTCATTACTTAGTTTTTACCATGGTTAAAGATAATCTCTATCTAATATAGGGTAAATAAGTGTATAGACAGAAATAAAAAAAAATATGTGTTAGACAGAATAAAGATAGAGTAAATAAAGATACATTTTTTCTTGGCTACAAAAAACGAGATGAGATCATATGACTCCTCATTATATGACTATAATGACTCATGAGGAAGGAGACTCATTTTCCTTTCCAATCATCTTCCCTATCTTCTACTACTTTCTCTCAACTCTCAATAATTATATTACCTTAAATATCGATTATTCCAATGTTTGCTTCTAGTTTTTGCAAATTAGGACTCAAATGCACAAATTAAAATGGGATTCAAATGACACAATCTGCACATCCAAAGAATCAAGCTAGGGTAGAGCTTCACTTCGAATGAATATGACAACAAACGGTTTGGATGACATATTTTGTGGCAGAAAACTATCAAGGAGAAGAAAAAAACCTTCAGTTCTTGTATTGTTGAGTTGAATTCTTCTTATAATCTAAATGCTTACCAGATAAATTTCGATCACGGAATCGGAGACTCGAAGTTTACAATGCTCGATTTGTTGATCCCTCCATGTCTCAAGGAACTTGAGATTGTTGGGTTGATAAAAAATGAGGATTGATGAGTGTAAGAATATTTAGAAGATGTGATTGCAACAGAATTTACTACCCAATTAGTTAGGTTTGTTATATATTTTAATTAGATTATATGTTGGAGACAAATTAATAATATTTTTAAAATGTTTAAATGATATAGGTAGATTTAGTTGTTTGATAATGTAGATTTGGTAGCTTTACAATGTAGAAATTTTGCTAAATGAAGAAATGATGCAAGGGTAATATGGACATGATATGTTCTACCAAGTATGGTGATATATCATTTTTCATTATGATATCATGTATGTAGCCATTTTTTAGGATTTCTCAATATTTAAAGCTTAAAGAAAGAAAAATAGAGATTTTTTTTAAAAATAATTTATTTGTCTGAGCCATAAATCTTATATAAGTCATTAATCGTTTTTTATCGATATAAAATAAAAATAAAAATAATGAATAATGATTAAAAGATCTTGAGAATCAATTGAGGTCAAGGTTGGTGGGGGTTGCATATGGTTGTTCACATTCCGAAAGAAAAATGTTTACCATAAGTTTTTCTCTGAGTGGAGGAGATAAATTTTTGTTGGAGTAATATCAAAGTCAAATTACAAGCTTGGTCCAAAGTTTCAAAATTATATCTAATAAATCTATGAACTTTAAAATGTGTCGATAAGATGATAGTTGTTCTACACTGTCAAAATTGTGACAAACTCGAACAATGCTAGTCATACCATTCATATGAGATGGCTAAACTGTACTACCAACTCCAAATAGCTACCAATTCATATGAACTATGCTTTATGACCGTGCAATTTGGAAGAAAATGGATGGTTTTAATTAAATAATTGAAGTGGAATTTCAAGCAAGAAGATTTTGATTTGAAGACGAAGCCAAGTTGTTTAGTTGC